CTCACACGGCATTTAACCCCAACTTCCTCTTACAGGTTGTAATAATTGCTTCGAGCAGCAATTCCTTTGAAAATGCAAGAGATGATTAGCTGCAGTGCATTAAATAGTGCGTTAATTATTAAGCGTATATGGTTATACGCGTGTTAAACGAACACGTCAGAATCCATCCTGCGTCATGTTGGCCCCCAAGGCTTTCACTCGCCCCGTGCCACACGGTACTCACCTGCTGCCACTTGCTTGTTTTGTACAGGTTACTATTTTTTAAAACAGCCAAATCTAAAGCGCTCCCAGGCCTACCCTACCAGTGAAGTGAGCTTTATCAAACTGGCAATTCTGATACACGGATTCATTTTTAGGTCATTCATCATTCGTTACGACCTGCTATGAAAAAGAGAGGCCAGATTCAGTTCCCATTATCGTAAAGCGAGAACACCGCATTTAGCGGCTCCAGTTACTTAAAACCTAGTCGTTTCCTTACAGAGGGCAAGCTTTATCCATTTCTGTCCAATACCCTGTTTTAGCTGAATTTTGTGGAAAGACATACAGCCTCTTCTAGTGATCCGAAACCCCATCGCATGCTATGAAGTACTTCGTTGCAACTTCTGTTAATGGATTAAAGTTTTTAAAACAAATTAAATCATTAGTACACCAGTTTTGGCATGTAAACATTTTAATGAATACATAAAGCACATATAAAGCAAAAGATTAAAACAAAATTATTGTTACAACCACCGTAAACTATATAAAAAATTTTTTTACAAGCGTATTGCTTGCACAGCAGGTTTTACAAAACAGTGTATCACGAGCAACACCACTCCCTGAAAACAAAAGACTTGGAAATAAAAATCACAGTAAGTATTTTCTTAAATCACATCATACACTAGTCGGACTAGCACTGATTTAACTACTTTTCAAAAAGTCTTCATGGTGCTGTAGTATACATTAAAGCTCGCACAAGAAACATGACTAGAGTTCAAGCACAAGAAGAAAAAAGGTGCCTGGGTATTGTGCCGATTTATCGGTCACCACTTAGAACTGCGGTTCCCAAGCCTTTCGCCTGCGCCTGTTGACGGCAAACCCTTTTTGAAGACCCCCATTACAGCGACTGCTCCACTCGGGGCTGGCTTTGGAGCTGCTGTTCAGAAATGCTGACCCCAAACCCCGGTTCTGCTCCACTGGAGAAGAACTTCAGCCCGAAACTCCTCATGCCTTGTTACCTGTCTGTAGGAAGGGGAAGCCCCGTGTCTGCCTTCCACACTTCTTGCACCCAAACACACACACACACACACAGAGAGAGGGAGAAAGAAATACAGGAGCAAGGGTTCATACAGGCAACAGGGGAGCGTTACAAGATCGCACACAAAACTGAAGCAAAAAGTAAGAGAAAAAGGGATTTAACCTTTCACCACGTCTGGCCTCAGCCTGTTATTTCTGTCATTCACAACATTTTGGTCTGTTGCGTGTGTGTCACAAATGTAGTTTAAAGTTTAGTACGTTAATGCATAATGTTAGACCAGGACAGAAAAGTTCTTATTTCACAATCCAAACTTCAGTAGGAATATAAAAAAAACCCCAAACCCGTAAACAAAAGAATTACAAAAGCATAAACAACTGCGTAAAAGAAACAAAACAGCACTGGGTACACAGTGAAGTTGAATACAGGCTACTATCTAGGAGGCACAAGAAAGATTTGATCATTTTAACAAACTCGCTTATACGCTTTACAAATGTTGAGATAAGTATTCTATAAAGATTAGAAAGGAAATAATTTATAGTTGCACTGCTGTCTCGCATGCTTTTTAAAATGTCTGCACCACAGTTTCTTTCTGTCACCCTTTAAAAATCATCTTTAATGCAATACAATTTAGGCTGTGCACAACGATAGTTTTGTTGGGAATATTCTACCTTAAAAAAATTCCTTGAAAGTACAGAATTCAAGCCGGTTTTGATTGAGTTTCAGTTACCTAAAACCTTGATGGGGCAGGGGGGGAACAATGGCAAATGCGTTTGCTGCCCCTTAGAGGAGAGGAGTACTTCTGTACATTCCAGTATTTCTATTTTTATTTACTCCCATGGGACTCCCGCGCACTCTAAATTTAAACTTCAGAATTCCAGGGTAAGGGAGAGCCCTCTCCACGGGAGAAACGGAGGCCACGAAACAGTCCCCGCTTTGTTCCTACCCCACCTTTCCGTACACAATAGTGAATCTCTTTCATTAACGTGCTTTTCAGCTATGGCTGTGAGATGAAAATGCCTCCACAAAGAATTTATAATGCGTTCTCCTTGAATGTCAGCCCCGAATCTTTACAAAGAGCAAGTGTTGTCTTTGCATTCCAGCGCTTGCTGGTGTGGGTAGTTGAGACACACGCTCCCACTGGGGCACGGGCTGGCTGAAAAAGGAAGATGGCAAGAAAGGCAGAGCTGCAGAATTGCTCCAAAATGTTTCAAAAATCAAGCAGAAACAAGTGCAAGCAAATAAACAGCGCAGTCCCAGGAACTTTTCAATTCCAAGCCTTTGAAATTCACCCTTTAAGGTGCTTTTCATGCTATCTTATTTACCAAAGGCCTGTTTACTTAGTGGAGTCTGGAAAACTGCCAAGGGGCTTTATTCATATTTCAGCTCATCCATGAACGCCTTCATCATCTATCAGTACTCCGACACTCTACAAAATTCATCAAGTGACAGCTACCCAGGTTTTAAGCACAAATAAGACTATTGGCCACCTAGATTTCCTCTGTACACACATGTATAAATAAATGACACCACAAGCCTTCCTTGATACAAGAAACCAAAAGGCATTGATTCAAAGGCTAAATAAATAATAGTTGAAACAACCGTCTCTGCCGCTTGCTCGATATTCTCCGCACTGAAACCCTCCTACGGCAGAGCTTCCTAGGACAGGTTTTCATGCATCAGCATTATCCTTGTGTGAAACAGTGCTAGAGATGCTTCGGCACCGGAAGTCCTGACGTGAGTGACTTTTGCCAAGATAACAAAACTTCTCTGGGCTTCCGGCTAAGATCTGCAAGTCAGGAGTCTAACTATACGTAGCTGTTCTTAAAAAAAAATTCTGCTGCCAGGTTAAACAGATGTTAGAATTGTCCATAATTCTGTACTGTTTTGCAGACATTTAAGTGCTTCAAAATAGCAGTTTACTGAACAGCAACAGAGATAAGACAGATGATACCCTGTCCTCTCGTACACAATTACGTAGAGATCTGTAGAGAATCACAGCGATCGTGTTCGCTCCAAACGATAAAATACAGAATCTGTACAACTTGCAGCCATTTTTTAGTCGTCACTACCAAAAAGGGAGTTGGTTGGTTTGTTTTATTGCTAAGCAAGAACGTACATACCTCTGTATATTCTGTATGCAGAATCCAAGTTTTTGGTACTGTTTCCTTGGTGTACAAAGAGCATGTCATACACTATTTTTTATCGAGTAACACAGTAGATGAATAAAAGAGCAAGAGTTGAGCTAGCCAGCCAGGTTCCAGAAAATAGCAGTGTTGGGAACAGTCTCGGATATTTGCAGTAACAGTAAGAAAAGTGGTTTTCTTCATTCTCCCACCAACTGCCTGTTGCGTGTATGAACATTACATACCTACAGAAACGACTGCGTAATTGCTAAATCTTTGTCACAAGCATTATAGTCCCCAGTTCGTAAATGTGAGAAACAAAAAGACCGAACTACACGGCTTGCTCAGCACTGGCTACCAAGTGTGAGCAGCTTCTGGTTTTAAGTTTCTCGAGTATTTTGCATCCAGTGGTCTGAACATTACAACAACTCTTCGGGGAAGGGCTATTATACATTGTGCTTCCAAGCGCGGAGCTGTGAAGCACGCTGACAGCCTGTAGCTGTCGTGTGATCACAGAGCAGAGCAGTTTTAAACCACGGGGTACTATGTATCACGTCCCAGTGCAACACCACGAGACGGGCTGGTTTGGGAAAGCTGCTCGCACTAACCCATCCCGGCAAGCGTCGCAGGTTAGAACTGTTAAACAGACAGCAAAGGTTGTCAAAGGTTATTGAAAAATTTGGGCCCAACCAGCAACTAGGAGCATTGCTTTTTGCAACACACAACTTGAGCAACTACATCAAACAATCTATTCAGCTAAAACAAAAGCTTTTACAGCCCTACAGTAGTTCCATTCAAATGCTTATGCAGTGTGTGAACACACAAACACAAGACTCCACTTGTCATTTACACGGCAAAGGGTACAGTGAAAATATTCTAAACTTTGCCACTCAAACAATAGTGAAGTAACGTGCCATCTGCATAACTTATCAGAGAAGGTGGGTTAATCCTGGAAAAGGAAAGAATTCAAGTAATACCCTTTCATCAATACCTTGTTTTTCAACTCATAATGTAGAAATGATTTGTTACACAATTTCTCATATGAAATGCTTAGAATATAAATCTTCACTTCCCGCCAGAATAAAGCAGCTGGACTATTTTGTACACCTGGGATTCAGGATAATATCTGTCAAGCCATCTCCTCAGCAATGCTATCAACTGACCTTAAAACATGCTCTTGCGCAAGCAGGCTGAGAATCTGGCCTCAGTTAGTGCCAAACTATCTAGAGATTGTCTTGCATTTAGTACTCTCATCCAGCTCCGTTTTGCAGATATTTGAGAACAAGACACAAAAGCAGACTGAAGTTTCTCTAAATGGCACAGCACACAAATGCATACAATGCACCACATTCAATGTTCATAAAAATTCCTCTCGGTAATGTTTCTAGAGCCACCTGGATTACTAAAACTCCTTGATACTACCCAGAATAGCTCCTCTTGTTTCCCAGATCTATGCTTTTTTGTTGTTGTTGTTTTCAGTTTAAAGCCAAGCATTAAATTACACACCTGCAAGTACCGTCTCGCTGGCTAAATCAACTCTTGCATTAGAGCAGTTACACCTTCCTTTTAGTCCCACCCTTCCTGTTTAATTGTACTTTATTTTGCTGTAGCTGTGCAGTTCTCTATTCCTCAGAGCTCACCTTGCCCGAGCCCCGACGGGGAACGTGTCTTTCACCTCCAAAGAATCTGCCCAGCGAGTCAAGTAGACCCGAGTCTCTGTGCCTTGGAGATCCATGTCTAGCGTGGTCTGTAGTGCTCGCAGATGCCATTTTTGATCCGTGTCGGAAAGAAGAGCGTTTTTGTGAAGCCATCAAATCCGAATTCTCTGAAGCTGCTGCACTGTCCTCTTCGATGGTCTGTAGCTCGTCTGACTCTGAGGGCCGATCTTTGAAGGTGTTGTCTTCTCTTCCTGGGGCATCTCGGGAAAAGAGGCGGATCAAGTGGGGGCGACCAGTCGTGTCAGCTGGGTTGGCCTCGGGCCAGGCATTCTTCGGGTCTGCTGTGCCTTTGGAGTCTGTCACCGCTGGGCTCTTCGTGGAGGTCCCATTGTTCTGGTTCACATCTGCCTCTCCTGCAAACAACAAGGATGAGATATGAATACAGGCCTGTGAAAAACAGCCCTGGAACAATGCTGCTTTCATTCCCTTGCCTTGAGATGCTCATTTCATACAAAACCCGTAATATGTGCAGTTGTAATGGAACTATGTTCTCTACCAGCCTTTAAGAACATTAAGCTATCTTGGAACCGAAACCGGGACGATGTTCTCACACAAAATGTGCAGTAGTTCTAGGTGGTTTTTTAATTAAACGTGTTTGTAAATAGATCAATTAGTTGTTCAAAGCACAAGTGAAACTAACTTTATTTACATGGAAGGCTTACTGATGAGGCAGCTTTCAGTTACAATGTCTGAACAATCAGAATTCCCGTACTTTCCCTTGAGGACCGCAACTAAAACGTGCCGCTCTTCTCCAAAACGGGGGAGGGGGGAAGTAAAAATAAAAAATTAAAGCAACATTGCAGGACTGCGCCTTCTCAACTGCACGTTCCCTCTCCACGACGTCAGAACTTTTGTACCTGAAGGTTTTGCCCCCATGTGGAATCCCTCACTGTAACTTCGATACCAAGCAAACAAGTGTAACGAGGGGAGGTTTTTTCCACTATTTCAATTGTCCTCACTTCAAAACAAAAGCAGAGAACACTAAACTGCAATTTCTGCTTGGCTTCCCATGACGGTTTTTCTCCGTGTATGATCCTGGCACTCGGCGTACAATGTCCTAGCTCTGATGCTGAAGGCCTAGAGCAAAACTGTCTGATTTGCATTTAGTGCTTGTGAAAAGTGACAAAAACAATTATCAGAAACCGATGAGCTTTTAGCCAAGAAAGGCGCCGAGACAGACCTCCGTGGTGCAAGTGAAATGTCTGCTGCCTCCTCCACAGTTGTGTTCTGATGCACTCAGTAAAATATCTGAAAAGAATCAGTTGTAGCTGATTCTTAACCATTAAGCATTAACCTGTAGTAGCTCCTACCAGTGACGAAAAGATTTATGGAGATTTTTTTATAGTCTATCCCATTATTCCTACTGTTCTAAAGGAAACTGCATCCACTGAGGAATAGTCTCGCCTCCAAGGAACAATGAAAGAACATTAGTAGGTCACTGCTTGAGAAGCAATCTTCAGAGCAGACACCTCCCACACACTCACTCCGTGTCAGAAACGTTTTTTGGAGTTAACAGGGCTCAGAATTTCAGAAATAAGTTACAGTTAGTCATATGTTACCTTTAGGGTCTTCTAATTACCTCATTAAATCCCCATTTGATTTGGTCCTTGTTGCCATGGGAGGGATAGGATCTGGCAAATACCGTTACGTTTTCAAAGTACTCTGGGCTCAAGTACTTTGCTGATTCACCAGAGCAATTTTAGACTTGACACAGTCATTTCGTATGATTTCGCCCACTCACAGGGCACTAAAGAAACCTCTTCTCAGGCTGAGAATAATTCTGAAATAATTTCATGGATAACAACATGACAGTAATGATGGCTTCTCCAAATATATACCGGTACTTAGGTTACAATTTGTTGTAATCAGTCTGCTACAGTTTTTCTTATAAAAACATAACGTGCAGTTTTGCTGTGCAACTTCCTCCTCTTCCCCCCCCCCTTCTGTTAAAACTACCTAGAAAATGTTGAGGAACTTCAAGAAAATTTTCTTTGGTTAAAACATCTGAAAGTATTTCTCGGGAATACAATTATTTAACCAATGCTAATTGTCACTGAAGGAAAACATCTGCTGGCAACTTTGGGATTTTGGTTTTCCTGAACAGATACTTTCAAACGTACTAGAAACTACTAAAGCCCCCAAATGATTTTCTTAATCGAGCAAAAGAGAAAGGAACTAACATGGATATATGACACATTCTAAAACTGCAAAACATTTTAAATAGCAACTCTGAGCCTAGATTCTATACCATAATACAAATCCATTCAAGGACAGAAAAAGAAAAAACAAACAGAAGAGCTATTGTATTTCATTAAATGCATTAACAAAACACCAGACCATCTGCATACTAATATTTTTTACAACAGTTGTTCTTTGTGTCACTGAATATGGGTATTGGTAAGCAACAAAGAAGGGTATTTGTGCCACAAAAGTAGCTTCTCCCAATGCATACGCAGTGAGCTATAAAGTATAAATCTTTCTGTACGCTTTATTTCAGTAATCAAAGCGCACATTTAAGTTTTCCTCTAGATTTTCTGCATGCTTAAGTCTTCTCTAGTATTTAAAAATATCTAGCAGAGAGATATTGTTAATATTTGAGCTAACTAATCAAAGTCTTCAAGTGCATTTGGAGAGACAGATCACTTTAATAATGTCTTAAGGATATCCAGAATTAATGGAGCATGTAAACATATGCTTATTCGTTCATTTAGAAACAAATATTTAGACTTCTTCTAGTAAAATCCATTATAAATGCTGTGCATATGATACTGATAATCTTTTTTTTTTCTCCCTGCAAGATGAAGCTCTCTTCCTAAAATAGAGTACCCTTCCTATACCATATCACTTGTACAAGAGAAAGCTGCTGAGAGAGGAAGAGGTCTACAGGCATTGGTTTGGTTTTTTTTTTTAAACCCTTGTAAAATGGGTTAAAGAGTAAGTACAGCAGAATGCATTGCCATAGGCATTACCGGAAGACTATTAAAGTGTCGCCTATATACATTTAAGTGAATAGTCATTGAAAGCTGCGCAAGTGAGAGCATGGGAGAAGCGCATCCTCACTCTAGCCTAAAGGCAGCGGGAGGAAGCCAGATGCCAAGCAGGGATTTGGCACTCCAGGCGTGGCTGAGGACCACTCCCCAAGGCAACGCCACCTTTCCACTTCCCCTCGCTCTATGCAGCTCTTGAGCCTGCAGCTGGCACAATTTTCCCTGTGCGCGTTGGTCAGAGTGAACAAAGCCATTTGTTCCCTGTATACACAGTGACTCCCAAAACGAATGAATATACATGGACCAAAAATTCTGAACAGTCTGTCAATGAAACAAAACAGAAATTCCAAAGGTGCGTTCAATAAAACAGTATTAAATCCAACCCTCCATTGCCTTTAATAGGAGTTGGGCCACATACAAGTTTTTTCAAAACCACTGTGCCTTAATGCTCAATTTGACATTAATAGTTTATCCCATTTCTTGAGAATCAAAATAACACTTTTACATAAGCCTCTAATTGGCTGGGACGTCTCAGCCCCGTGGTTCAAACAATAGCTACTGTCAAGACCACGGAAACCTCTTTTATACAAAGTATGATCTCTGATGGAGAGTCCTTGGATACAAATACCCTTCTCATGGGTTGCTTGGTAGAGCAGCTCTATGATAGTCCCTCCTTGTGTATATAGAAGTCTGTAGTCTTCTTCCATACAGAAGACAACCTAGAAAGAGGTTGTTAAGCTAAGAGTTTTAATGTGTTAAGTTTAAAAAAAAAAAAAAAAAAAAAGGATTACAAGTTTTTCATCTCCTCCCACCCCTTTCCAGTCTTGCTTTCTTGCAGATACTTGTAATTCCTCTCACATTCTTATTGCTGCTCCTTCTACAAATGCTGTAAAATAAACAAGGAAAATGAAGCTGATAAAAGCTGAAGCATATTCCCCTACTTTGGCTTCTCAAGAGAGGCTTAGTACAACAGTCACAGCATATTGCAAATACTGATTGTAATAATACATGACAGCAGCTTAAATATTTGTATGAAATCTTAAGAATTAAGTATTATTTACTCATTACAGACACCAGAAAGTACATTAATCGAATTTATAACACCGAATATTTAATATATTTTATGGTAACTACAGCTTGCTGTGATGATTACTAATTTCCTTTTTCTTGGCCTTCTTTTCGCAGGGTATGAGAAGATGAAAGTTCTCACTTAACTTTAGGGACCTTTTGAATCAATTTTTCATTTTAGCTTAAGTCACGTATGTTTATAAAGCAGTGCTCTTCAGCATATGAAATATAATGTGTATTTGCCCTTTTCTACTTTTTTGGTCCTATTTCTTCTATAAGACAACAATGGATAGTTAAATGTAATGCAGTAAAGTTCTCAATTCTGAGTCAACAATATGTCAGTACGTTTACTGAAATGCTGATACTAAAATATTAAGTAAAACCTCTGGAATTTTGCACTGACTTACCTGTTTTTAGTCACTTGAACAACAAAAGGTTACACCTAAAAATTACTCAGCTTTGTAACGCCTAAGATTTCAAGATCTTCAGTAAGCTGTAGTAGTAAGGCATATGTGCAATGTATTAGTAATAGTTTGCCTTGCATTATTTAAGAGGCTGAAAACCACTGTTCCGGAACACGTGGCTTTTAGTAACATTCATGGTAATACCAAGACATTTGAAAGAAAAGGACAGAAAAAACACGTCCATCATCACTACATATGAGCTGCAGTTGAAGATGTCTGGGTTCCAACACTGCATTAAGATAACTGTTTCCCCAACAGTCTGCCCTTCCTTTTTATGCAATTAAGTTCTCTAGAAAAAGGACCTTAAGGGATTGTTTTGCAGGAAGTATAGCATAAGGCACCGCTGGGAGCCCTAATTCAACTCTAGCTTTGAGTCTGTCATACTGTCATGAAGTCACACACTTCCATTTTTCCTGCCCTATCACACACCTCACTTCAAACTCTAACGTTCCTGAGTAGATGGGACAATGGAGCTTTGGGTGTGCGTGTAAATGAGGAGTCTGGACATGCAGCGGTAATTACACACTGTGACCTACTACAAAAGCCAGGATCAAATAAAAATCAGGCCAATTTAACACTTAATTTCTTTGGAAAAAGGATCCAACTATTTGGTGCTCAGCTGTATCAAGTATCAAAGGCAAGCGTAGCAAAAACTGTTCATCCCGCAGACTGGTGCAGGTCATCTGTCAGAAACACCAAGGCCAGTCCTGGCTTCCAGCCAGAGCTCTACCGCTGGAGATGGCACCGAGGAGCGCTGCACGGCTTAGCATGCAGTGGGAGCACCCGTTGATCAGACTAAAAGGAGAAAAGGGGACGAGAGAATGGGTGCAAACC